CTTGGCTAGTAAACAGGATGCTGGTTCAAATCTCAGTAGAAAAGTTTTCCTTACTCTTCCCCCCGCCTCTCTCTCTCTCTCTCTCTCTTTCTTTCTTTTCTTTCTCTTTCTTCCCTCCCTCCCTCTGTCTTCTTTCCTGCCTCTTTCTCTTCCTTCCTCTCTCCCTCCCTCCCTTCTCTTTTCCTAGTTATTTGAGGGCTTTTTTTCAAGGAGAGAATGCAAGATTCCAGCATTTATTTCTCTAGTCACTTGAATGAAAATAACTATTTCTACAAGTTTCCGATGAATGTCAAAACAGCAACCTCTTACATAACCTCTTTGCGTTTTAATTTATTACCTATATAAAAATAAATTAGTATATATCAACCAGTGGTGGGATTCAGCCAGTTCGCACCTGTTCAGCAGAACCGGTAGCTAATTTTTTGTTGTCCAGACCCAGAATGGCCTTCCAGAAGTGGCATCCACACAGAGAACTGGTTGTTCACCTATCTGAATCCCACCACTGATATCAACATTACTTTCTATGGATTTATTTTTAGGTTTATTTACGTGTGAGCATTTGCACATATACTATAGGCATATATAAACTTCCTCTCACAGGGAGAAGTAATTGGTTTTCCTAGAGTAGAAAAGTGGATGGCACAGCAGCAACAAGAGGATGCTGTAGATTTGGTCAGGACTGAGTATGCTGCAAATTGTTGCCGAAGTCTACACAGGATTTTCTTAAATATACTTTATATTCAAGCCTGCTTGAGCATAAGAGAAACAGCTTAAATTTTAAATGTGTATATCAGGGGTGTCCAACCTTGGTAACTTTAAGACCTTTGGACTTCAACTCCCAGAATTCCCCAGTCAGCATGATATATGTATATATACATACATAGGCTCCCGGTGATTTTTGAATTAATGGCAAGGTAAGCATAAAATGTAAAATAAAGGGGGAAAAAACCCGTGGAGGTTTCAAAATAAGATATATTACTTTTGCAAGCAAAAGCTTGAAATTGCTTGATATTTTTGGTTAAGGGGTACTTCCCAAAAGTGGATTGTTCCCAACTCCACGATTTGGCTGGATCACCATCACAGTAAAAGGAATCTCTATAGAAATCACATCCCAATAGGATTCAGAAATGCTCAGGTTTTCCTTGAATTACCTTAACTTCATTAATAAAAGATGAGAGGCCATTTTTGCTGCATCTCTCATCTGCTTTTTGTTACTCAGAGCAGTGAGGAGCTTCTGAGCTTTTGACGGCTTTCCTTCGGTGGGAAAGGAAGCATCCATCAAGGGCAGTTATGGTTGTCCCCAGGAGCTGTTTTTCAATAGGCATAAACGTAGCATCTGTTAACAGGAGCTAGCAAGCAGGACCTCTGCTCTTTATTTATCAAAAACTGATGGACTAACTAAAATAAAACCATATAATGGGGTCGGTAGGGGGGTTTCTGTAGTCAGAAATCTTTGGCTCATACCACTCCAATAACAGTCACCATAAATTTCAGGAAAGCAAGATGCAGAGGTTGCAAAATTAGGAGGGACAGCTACTACTTTAGAAGACCGAAGTAAAATTTGAAACAATCTGGGCAGGTTAGAAAAAGAGACCAAAGATAATGTTTAAATCTTTCACTCAGGCAACTGAAACCAAACACAAGAGTATAAGAACAGGAATTCCAAGCTCTGGCAGATCTTTAACTGTAATCAATTATAAGCTGACTATCTGGCAGCAGCATGATAATGGCAAACAATTTTAGCCTGTCAGCAATAAAACTACTGCCTGCAAAAGGGTGGTAGAATTCAAACATTTTGCATTGATGGATTCCAGCTCAGTCCTACCCAGTTCTGTGTCACATGCTTTAAGGACCCAGATATTAAATTGATTCATATACGACAGCAGTCCCCAACCTTTCTGGCACCAGAGATCAGTTTTGTGGAAGAAAATTTTTCAGACGTGTGTGTGTGTGTGTGATTTTGCATGCAACCTAGATCCCATGCATGCACAAATGAAGCTTCACTTGCTCGCCTGCTTGTGCGGCTTGGTTGCTAACAGGCCACTGACTGGTATCACTCCGCAGCCCGGAGGTTGATATACCAAGTTGCTTGGGGAACTAGACACAAAATTGTACAAGGAGACTAAATCCATTTAGCCTTGAGAAGACTGAAAAGGAAAGAGATACGACAGCATTTTTCTGAGTGTTGAGAGAAACTTAACAGTTAAGAGCAGCTGGATGGTGCAAGCATCCAAGGCAGGTATCAGAGATGGATTCAAGTGCAGGCTACACAATCTGCAGAAGTCAGCAGTTGTACTCGGTGCCAGGGCTTCAATGATAGTTCCAATTCTATGAAAAATTAGCCTCCAAAAACTTGGTTTAATGAAGGTTCCATTAGTGATACTCCTAGTGGCAGAACAAAAGTGGTCTCTCATTTTGAGGCACTGCTTATTATTAAGTGACCTACAGCCCTGCACCACTTTCAGAGAATTCCCCATACCTAGACATGTTAGTGGAAACTGCTGAGCAAAGTCCTGTGAGGACACACTTAATTATACACAACATGGAACGCCAGAGAAGAGAGAAGCTATATATGTTTATTTAGCAAATATATATGCCACCCAATCCTTGGTGGCTTATAAAATACATTTCAATGAGGCAGTACTAAAATTCCCAACAATTCCAAAGCTATTAAAAACCATCTTCATCATTATGGCTGTGCACAAAAATGTAGTTTCCTACCAAATTCAAAGGCACGGGGTCTCAGGAATGCTACCAAAATCATATTCCTGCAGCGCGATAGAATCAGAACGTGGAACATTTTCTTGACCCCAGGATTTGGCTCAAACAAAAATCTGGAAGGTCTCTTGGTCAAAGATGGTGGGCTTTCCATCAGTCGGCTCTTCTCTGGCCTGTAGACCAGCCTGCTCATTAATCTTCTCCTCCTCCTCCTCTCCTTAGTGACCATCACTGCTTGTGTCCTTGACTTTCTTGCCCCTCTCCCTCCCACCCTAAAACCTTCAGCCTAGCACACACATTTTGGTCCAAAGTTCAAGTTGCAACTTGCATATATAGTTTGCCTATGTGACATTTTGCTGAAAATTTTGATCTACCTGCTCTTCTTTCCTTGACCTGTTCTCCATACTATTACCTCAATTGACCTCCTTTCTTCTCAACCTAGAGCAGGGGTAGGCAACCTTGGCTCTTTTATGACTCGTGGACTTCAACTCCCAGAATTCCTGAGCCAGCCACGCTGAGGGAAAAGGGAGAGGTTTCCAAGCTGAGCCATGCTGGTTCAGGAATTCTGGGAGTTGAAGTCCACGAGTCATAAAAGAGCTAAGGTTGCCTACCCCTGACCTAGAGGCATGTCCACTTTGGGTCCAGACTGCCTGTTCTGTGCACAGAACCTTTTGCATAACCTCACCATCAGGAATGGGGAATTCAAAAAAGTTGAGGCTTCTAAATGTAGTGTTGCAGAAAATGGTTAAGAATATCTTAGAGTGCAGAAAGAATAAATTGTTTCCTATTAGATGAACTAAAATCAGACTGCTTCTTCAAAGCACTAATAATAAAAGTTCAGTATTCTGAACAGAGAACATGAAAGCAATAGTCAATAAGACCCACTGAAACAATGGAAGACACCACTACCAAAATACCCTCCTTTACAGGGGTGGCCACCTTTCCTTCACCAGGCATCTCATGGCTAGCCAACTCAAATCAGCTTTTCAATCAATATTGGATCCATTAATTCAATTCCAAGGGTTTATACCTGTGCTTCTCAATCTTGCAATTCAATGTGCACAACAGTATGGCTGGCTGGGCAATTCTGGGAGTTGTAGTCCACACATCTTAGAATTGCTAAGGTTGAAAAACCCTGGTTTACATAGACCTTATATTTATTTTATGCTAATATGCTGGTCTACATGGAATTCAACAACTAGACAGAGGAGGGATGAGTGGAAGAGCACTCTCCAGTGATAGAATTAGAGAAAGAAGTTTATAAGTTCTTTTTCTGAACTAGGACTTTGTATGACCATCAACCTTTCTTTGGCGGATCTCTAGCTTGTCTTGTGCAGCCCAAAATTATTCTCGAGGTCAGCAAAGACGTATATAAATGACCCTTCTGAAATATTAAAAAGTAATAACTAAAAAGAAGCCAACAGCAGAGCTGAAAGCTTCATCCTAACCCAATTCTTCAGCCTACAACAAAGTTAGCTAGTCTGAGGGCATTGGAGCTGTTGGTATCGTGTCTTTCAAATTCCCTTTCTCAAGAGAAGGGATAAAGAGGTCTGCATTCCAACTCTGTGACAGGCTTCCGAAATTATTTCTACGTTGCAAAGTTCCACAAATTTGTAGAACTCCATCAGTCTGAATTTTGAACTGAATAATTGGCAGGAATAACTGAGTAACTTGGCAGGAGGCTCACCTTTTTCTGGGCCATTTATTAAGAAGACCTTTCAAAGGTACTGGATTAGAAGCTAGTAATCAGGGTCTCCAAATTTGGCAACTTGTGGGCTTCAACTCCCATAATTCCCCAGCCAGCATGGAGAAGTCTTAAAGTTTCCACGTTTGGAGACTGAGATTTTTGGAAATCAGGTATGCCTGATTAATTCATTTTTACAGCCAGCTGATGATCATCTTTTAATCTATCCCTACTTCCTCACAGATGCCCCCTGGCTTCCCCCATTCAGATATACTATGGATAAAAACAGTTCTGATGGCTTCCCTCCAGAGAAGGACAACCTCTTGCATCCCACGCCAGCGTGGACAAAGCATTTATTGGCCAGAAATAATACGCAGCATAGCCAGTACAAGCTCCTGGACGGCACAGGACTGGGACGTTTGCTGCGGCTACTACATCGTATTAACAGAAGACATGATCCTTCAGCTCAAGATTCTGCTCTCCACTAAAATGCACTTTTGCCTTCAACCTGTCCTCAGCTAGAGAAGTTCAACGCATGCAGCGAGCACCACAATGAAACTCTTTCTGGGTGAATAAAAGAATCACGATTTGCCTATGTTTAGATGAAGTCCACCTGAGAGCACCCAGAAAGAATGACAAAATGCTTCTCTTTGTTGCCACAGATCTCGGTGTCATCCAGTGAATCTGTAGAACAAAAGGCAATGGTAACAAAAATGGGGGGAAACTCAGAAAATATTTTAACCGCCTTGGATTGGACGCTTATTTATGAGGGCTCCTTCATGCTTACAGGGGGAGTAATTTCTACTGGGAAACACACCCATGAGACTCAGATTTGGACAGTCTCCCAGCTATGAACCCAATTAAAATTATGCAAAACAAGGAAGTCAGAATCTACTTACTCAGGAAACTAACTTCCCCAAACGTGAAAAGAAGATAGGACAGAAGGTCAACTCTGGGTTCTAGTTATTTTAACCAAAAGGAAATCAAAACAAGGGCATTCTTCTCACAGACAGAAAATGCAATTTTATCTAGATCTGTGGATACCCCGTTAGAATAGAACACCCAAAACAAATAGATAAGATCCATAGATAAGAAGCCAGAGAATAAACACAATGCCACAAAAGATTATATGCTACATGCCATCAAATGATCTGCCAATAAATTTCAGAAGGAAATTTCAAAACAAGGCTTTGATTACAACAGCAACTGTAAGAAATAAAATGTAAACGCTAATGCAATTCTAGATTTCAGACAGCAAAAGTTCCTCACCTCCATTGGTTGGGTGCATATGTTCAGCTGGAGGGGTGCTGCTCAGCTGCCATATTGTTTTCACCCTTTTTGGTCCTTGACCGCTGCTGATTTCCACTCTCCATATTTGAGGATGAACACTGTAAAAAAAAAAAAGAATTGATATTAAAGAGGTGCGTATATTTGGAAATCCTAAGGGTCTCCTGCAGGTAGTCAGATCTCAAGACTGTCTCTGAATATTGTAGCTACAAAGGAAAGCTGAGAGACTTGAGCCCTAACCAGAGAGAGCGATGCCTTACAGCAATTCTCTGGAATTATAGTTTGGAACTCAAAGACTCTCTCAGTTAGCATCTGACTTCACTTGCCTGAAAAGACTAACTAGGAATTGTATGAGAATTCATTTTGATATTGTTCTGTTTTGATAGTGAAGGCTGGGAATGAGCAGCATTGTTCTTCAGTGGTTCTCTTCCTTCCCCAAAGGCTGCTTCCAGTCAGCTGAGACAGTGAGGTGAGGTCAAGCAGTCTTTTCCCCATTACTATTTAACACCCAGATGAAATGACTGGGACAGATAACTCGTTAGGGTGGAGTGAGGCATCACCAATATACTAATAATATCTCCAAAGTAGACTGACAGGAGACAAGTAGAAATTCTCACTTGCTGCCCGGAGACTGTTAGGTTTGAACAGGGAGAAAGACTGGATCCTACCAAGACAAAATAGCTTGGATCTGGATGCCAGCTTAAGTCCAGAGATAGCTGCCAGGCACAAAGAATCCAAACAACTCTGTGAATAGGCCAAAACTGTTTGGTTATTGCTGATTGCCTGTTTATCAGAATCTTGCCAAACTGACTGCATACCCCTGAGAATCTGGAGATAAAGGCTTTCATAGTCTGGCCTCTGTTGTTTCCTCCCCTGGAGCGACTCCATGCTGGAATGTCTTTTTACTCCCTCCCTCTCCCTTAGCAGGTGGTTCCCCCACAATAGTTCATCTTTGACTCTTGCTTTGACAAACGGAACTGGTCACCCCTTGGAGAATCCTGGGATTCAACTTGAATCCTATTTGAACAGCACATGGAAGTTGTAGCCATGAGGGCATGTGAATAACTCAATCTAGTACAGCAACGGCGACCCTTCCTTGACTTTACTCACAATCTTGTCACAGATGGATTACTATAGTATGTTCTAAGTGGGACTGTCCTGGAAGACCAACTGGAAACTTCAGCTAGTGCAACAGCCCAGGTAATCATGAGCACTTTGTGGTTTGCACATCCACCCCATTATAATGGGAGCAGCACTGGCAGCCTGTTAACTTCTGAATGCAATTCAGGTTGCTGGTTGTCACCTGGAGACCATCCTCCTCCTCCTCCTTTCCTCAAAGCCAAAGTTTCAACTACTGCCCACGTTTGTCTGATGAGCAAGTTTCTATGCCATTGATTATGCTTCTGTGCCAATTGATGGATGGCCTTTAATTTGCTGAGGACTTAACTTACTTTTGGTAAAATTCCTTTACCAAACTTGTCCTGACTGGTAGCTGAAATGCCTGCTTTTCATTCAGAGGGTTTTCTTTATAGTAATTGATACAAGACCTACAAAAACAAAAATATTTCCATACCATCAATTATCAGAAAACAATATTAGACAACTTATATAGTTACAATGCAAATCAAAACCAATGGCATCTTCAGATTTCTGTTCAATATATACAATCATATTTACATTTAACATAAAGGTATTTATATTTCATATTATAAATAGCAATTTATATAGATACTATGACGAACATGCAAAAGTAGCACAGAAGGGAACACCGTGGAGACTCGTGACTCTAACAGCCACCAGGAAGGAGAACAAATCTGGACTGAACGGAATAAAAAGCAAAATACACTAATTATAACCAAGCCAAGAACTTAACCCGTAATGTATCCTTTATGAGCCAAGGAATAAGCAGATCAAAACAAGTGGGCAAAGCTAGGCCAAAAACTAAAATTGATTTCATTTTTCATATTTATATTAAATCAAATGCAATACACACGATCACTTTCCAGTCATATCAAAGGCATTTCTATTCTATATCATGTTAAATTTTCACTTTGATGAGAAATAGGGATACACAAGTCTCAAAATATTTGTTCTGACAATTCAGAAGTCTTTTAAGTTTGAAAGGCTCATTTTCAGGGATTATTCTGAACTTTAAACCCTTGCAGAAAATGGATCTCACATTCAGATTTTTAATTTCAAAGTATATTCCCCACTTGATACTTCTTGGAGATGGTCTTTAAGTAGCACATATCAGAAATAACTCTCTCTTCAAAAATTGTGTTGTGATTTTAGGGACATAATGGGAAGAATTGTGTTGTGTTGTGATTTTGTGTTGTGTTGTGATTTTAGGGACATTGTGTTGTGATTTTAGGGACATAATGGGAAGAATAAAGTTGTCAACGCTGTGACAATGGATGTCGCCGCTCTGACAACTGATGGAACTTGCAGCCATTTTTACTTCGCTTTTAATTTGCTTTCTTGCACTTTTTGCACAACTATGTAAAGCAAAACCACCCCAAACATCACATTTATTCGAGGAACCCTCTTATTCCTGCTCCTTAAGAGAAAGTTGCTGGCAAGCAATTACTGTGTCAGAAAGATGAGGTTCTCATGTTCTAGTTTAATAAGATCCAAGCAGTTGTCCACAATTTCCAATACGTGATGTAGTTTCTGAATACGATGAACCTGTTCCTGAAGATCTACTGAAGTGGACATGAAGTAATCCTTTGAAAGAGATAACACAGAACAAGCATCAGGAGCTATTGACAGCATCCCNATCCCTAATCCAGAACCAAACACTGACTTTCCTTAAGCATTGAGTAAATAATGTTATGTCAGCTGCAAAAATCAAGAAAGTATCTCCCCAATGCCCTCCACACCAGACATCTGTCGCTATTCAACTCTCAAGTACAGGTAGTCCGTGATTTGTTTAGCAACCGTTCAAGGTTACAATGGAAAAAAGTGACTTATGATTGGGTTTTGCATCATCTCCACGGTCATGTGACCTTTGCAACCAGCAGGTTTTTATTGACACTTGCAGGGTTCCAGAGTCCATGTGACTGTTAGTTGCACCCTTCCTAACTAGCTTCCAACAAGCAGTCAATGGGGGAACCTGGATTGACTTAAAATCATGTGATTCACTTAAAGACTGTGGCAAAAGAGGTCATAAAATCGAATGCGACTCATTTAACAACCACTTTGTTTAGCAATGGAAATTCTGATCCCAGTTTTGGTTGTAACTCGAGGACTATTTATATATTATTTGGGAAATGGGGAGTATGACTTACCAAGTGAGTGCGCATGGCAAGTTCTTTGCCTGAAACACAAAACATAATTTGTATCACAATTTCATACAAAATAAATATTAAAAGCCTTGATTTATTTACTACAAAATTAGAAAACCAGAAGCTGGAGAGAATGACATTTGCCTCCATGTTTGCATTATCGAGACCATCTGGAAAAATGAAAGAAAAACTGGAACTAGGAGAAAGCTAAAGAGTTTTACCTTCCATAGTTCAGAGGTTGGCAGGTTGAAAGTGGCTGTGGGGAGGGATTCGGCCATGTCAGATCATCGAATTTGTTCAGAAAAAGTCTCTATTTGTTAGTTTATAAATTAAATCAATAGTTTGATGTCTGATACGTAATTTGCTCACCATCTGCCCACCAAAACAGATATTAGCAACTTGTATTAGCTGACAAGATGCTAATGTTTTTTACATAGAAAAAGATAAATCATTTGGACACAACTACCCAAAATCAGGATGGATGGCCCACAACATACCCACAAAATAGCTGATATAGTCTCTCTTCATTTTATCCAAGCCTATTTCTAGAAGCATTTGCATGGGAGAATCTCCATCAAGAGCAACTGTTTCCATCTTTCCATGGTAAGATTGCTTGATCAAGTTGCTCAGTAAGCTGTTATTTTCTTGATGAATCTACAGAGACAGCATATATTTTACTTAGATACTCCTGTTCTATAAATACAGTATATAGCCTGGAATGTCTCAAAATAACCATTTTAAATAAATCTAATTCCAAAGACTACATAAATTACATATTTTAAATTCTAAAATAAGCTTCCTGCTCCCACCATTCAACCAAAATATAGCTGCCAATAATCATCCCCAGGAATAGCAAAGTTTCATGTTAAACTCACTTTGGAAGAGAAGCAGAAAGTGAGACCAGAATATCTGAGAGACTCCCTAAGTGCATGGGCTACAGATTAAATCAGGATAAAAAAATCTGAAATATAAAGACTGAATCGTGGGAGGATGGGGGATTAGAAGATTAGTGGGGTGTTTTGAGAAATTTTTAGGGGGTGTGGGGGGGGTAGGGTGGGTAGGCCAACCCATGCCATGTCGGGGGGACACGGCACTAAAGTGATCAGGGGGGAGGTTGGGGGACCAGGGGAGGGTGTTGTGATAGGTACGGTCAGTGGGAGGGGCAGATATGGCGGGAGCAGAGGACCATATCGGGTTTTGGGAGCACGCACACGCTGCTTACAAGCCTGTGGGTGCTCCG